TAATAATTTGGCTATTTAAAAATGAATACTATTATTCTGCAACCTAACACTATTCAGGCCTTACAAAATTTTATTTCTATTTGGAGGCAAGACCCTGCCACTCAATACAATTTAGGAATTTTCTCCCAAAATGTAATACTATAGGATGACCAAATATCAGACCAAGTTATTGATATTTTATCACAGCTTGAAACAGCTTTAAGTGAAATCAATCAACTTATTGAAAGTTTGAATAAACCAATTAACAATTCAATTCCTATCATAGAAGAAGAGTTAGGTGAACAAAATCCTCTCACAAAAATAAAAAAAGACCTTATGCAAACTCTTGAACCTCAGAAAGCCTCTCGAATCTCACTTTTTAAAGGAACAACTTGGAAGGAAAAACTTAATGATATTTTGAAAAAACTTTCTACTCATGCCAAGTTAAAAGAAAATTAGATCAAAACTCTTGAAGCTTACTATTATTTGGAAACTCTTATTCAAGAAAATGAAGCTAACTAGGAACAGATTAAAGAATGAATACAAGAAACCAATAGTGCTTGCAAAGCTTGAGACATTTAAAAAAGAGCTCGTCATATTCAAAAGATTTTTACTCTTCGACTAAAAGCTATAATCTACCAGACAAAATACTTGGCTGCTATACAAGTTGTAAGGCTTATAGACAAAGATTTCACTTCTTTGATTAAAAACTTAGAAGATAAATTTGCAAAGCAAATTTCTTAAAAGGATGGAAATGTTATAGAATGAATATTATTATTATATTTTAGTATAGTTTCATGAATGTATATTTTATTATTAACTGTTAGCATTATTATTATTATTATTATTATTATTAGTATTTGTTGTTATTATTATTATTATTTAGTTATATTAGGTAAAACAAATCAATTACAGTGGTTAATACTTGACACTTGACACTTAACGCTTAATGCTTGATGCTTAATGCTTGATGCTTTATGCTTGATGCTTGATGCTTGACTCTTAATGCTTGACACTTGCTGTTTGACACCTGATGTTTGACTCTTTGCTCTAATAATTATTAAGTCTTGATGTTTAGCTTTAACGATTGTTAATGAATATATAAACCCCAAGAATTTCCTTAAGTCAAGCAAGTCACAGATATTCCTCTCTCTCTACCTTTTAGTTTAGTAACTTCTATAAAGTATAAAAGGATTCCTTAGGAACAGAAACCTAAATGAATAGCCTTATTCCTTTAATAAAGTTATTACCTTTATCTATAAACTATATTAATATTCCTTCTCTAGGGTAATTCCTACAAGCAAGATCTATTGCTCCCAAGTAACAAAGTTATAAACTGTTATATTGTCTTAACTAAACTGCCCAGAGAAGGGTATAGTTGCTAAATAGTTAAAGCTACTATACTTCTCTCTTGGGCACTGCTATAAATCTGTAAAAGATCCCTATAGCCATGTTATTGTTATAGTAAAGAGTTAAAGAAGGTCTCCTTACTATAACAATGCCTTCTGTTTGTTTTACTTGATTTGCATATTGTTAAGAAACATGATAATGTTCTGCATAATTTTCTTCACTTTTTAAATATGACAAGGTCTTGGATATATCTGTTCCTAGACTTGCACTACCTACTAAATACACATTTATAGGCCCCTGAAGTTTATATTTTATGTTCACTACCTTCTTACATCTTAGATATTTAATACTATCATTTAACCTAAATCATTTTTTGCAAACTTTCTAACTGCATTGGTAATTGCTACTGATGCATAATTCTTGATGGCCTTATTTGTGACCAAAGTACGAATGATACTTGAGTGTTTATTTATATTGCTTTTACTTAAAGTATATATGTGATCTGAAGAATTTTTAAACTGTTCAATTTGAACCATTTTAGACAAAACAGACCATATTACTTTAATTTTGGTCTCACAAATATCAGCCAGTCGAATGTTGGTTTTTCTTCTTTTATCATCTGGTACATTATCCTATTGTGTATTTGAATTATTATGCTTCATGAAACAGCAAACATATATTTTCCAGAAATCACTGTTATTAAGCTTGTTTGAGCTAAATTGTGTCTATATATTTGTGACCAAAGGCTACAAATTATTATCAAACACTTTATTTGAAACTTCAAAAGGATCACTTACATTAAAAAAGCATGACAGTATATTACTTTCTTTGATCTCTTTGTCTATAACCTTCACAAAATAATATACAAAAAAAAAAAAACTATATATATGAGATATATATATATATATATAAAAAACTATATATATAAAGTGTATATATAATGGGTGTGGCGACCTAGTGAAGTGGATAGGTTGTCAACCCTCAAGTGGCAGGTCTAAGGTTCAATTCCCACGGATGAC